TGTTCTTTTCTCAAGTTCTTTTCTTCTACTTTCATCTAACCTCCATGACATTAATTATGATGTATTCTTTAGTTTTTTCTTTTTTCAAATACAAGCTCTGATGGGAAATATTCAGCTACATGTTCAGCCAATGAGAGTGTCCAAACATAGACTAAGTGACATTTCAGAGTTTTAGGGTAATTTCACATTCTTATGTTGGAAACACAATTGTATATGTTTTTCATGTCAGAGTTGAATATGATCTGCTAATTACACAATATCCGTTACCTCTATGGTCTGGAACTATCTGCTCATACTTTTATTTATGAAGTCGTCAATGCTCCTTTCACTAATCAAGTAATCATTGCAGTTGGTAGCAAGATTATGTTATGTACGGTACTTAAAAAGGAGTTCAGAACAAGCACAACACTTAACGAAGTAAATATGCAACATTTTTTTAGGATTAAATAACTATATGACTATTTCTTTTGGAGAATAACGAAGACGCTGCAATTCAGTTCCTAATGTTGCATGCCCTATTTTATTTTTCGACTATATTGGTTCGGCTGAAGTTTTACTAACAAGTGTTTGCTCAATATTTGTAAGTATCAACCATCATATCATTCTTTCTCTTTTAATATGGTATTTTCATTTCTCCCAAGTATTGATACAAAATCTCGCAGCAATGCGTGGGGTTTCAACTAGTTTATTTGGTAAGATAGGCAACTCCATGGGACATACTTCTTATGTTGGTCTCCACTCCCCACCTCTAATTCGGGACCCACAACCCAGCCAAACACGAGCCATTTTTTGCCGCGCTGGAAGCGTGAGCCAGGCTAGCCCTCGCGCATGACCGTGAGTTTCAGCTTAGCCACGACCCACTAGACTGCCCTGGAGACCCCACGCCACGTCACAGCTCCTCCCCAACGCCCTGCCACGCCATCATAGTGCTCCACCACGCCTCCCAATCGCATTGCACGCGCGGCAGGCGGCAGCGGCCAATCTGTCCTTTGCCGCCCATGATTTCTTGCTCCCAAGTCCCAAGAATGCCTCGTCTTTGACTCGAATGTGGACGAGAGAAAGGCCGCCTACCTCGGGACCTCGTGAGAAGCCCTTTGCCAGCCTCTGCAACACCCTGCCCTATCCCATTTATCTGTCGCAGGCTTGCCGGTGCCCACGCCATCTCGAGGCCAAGGGAGTAAGGCTGTGATCAGGAGGTGAGGTTAGGAACTCACCTCCTGCGCACGCAAAACGGAGCAACGCCTTTTCTTATGATTAATTAAGTATTTATTAATTTTTTTGAAAAATATATTAATATGTTTTTTAAAGCAACTTTCGTATAAAAACCTTTTGCAAAAAAACGCACCGTTTAGCCATTTCAAAAGCGTGCACGTAGAACACGAGGGAGGTGAGTTGGGAAAGTTGAGGGAAGAACACAGCCTAAGCAAGCACCCGCTCTCTCCCCTCCCTTCCTTGGCTTCCTCCTTAACCAAGACCATGTCCTCCTAACTCCCGAACTCGCCCTTGTTCTTAGGAAGCCAAAGGACCCAAGTGATTGTCCCTTGGTTCGCTGGGCGAGGTGCCACGTGTGGTAGCGGCAAGCACACCTCCACCGTTCCAATACCATCGGTGAGTATCATCTCATCCCAGCCATGTCACCTCGCGTCCCTTCACCCACTGATTCCGTTTTTGCACTCAGTTGACGCTGAGCACAAATGCAGTGCATCGTGTTCTCCAACGCTGGCCCGGTGCCGCCATGACCTAACAAGCGCTAAACTCTGTCCCTGGTGAGTATCTCGACATCCAAGCAGCTTTACCATGTGTTCCTCCCCCCACCTTAATCCATTTTCCTCCTCCTCCATGGTAGAACTTGCTGCTGCCCGATCTTCTTCTCTTGGGGCTGACCGAATGCCTCCATGCACTTGATTTGGGAACTTTCACCTCAGTAAGTTCCAACCCAATTCCTCCCCATGGGAGCATCTATATACCCTGCTAAGTTCATTCCCATGCTTGGTTTTAGTCCCCGACGCCCTGAGTTCCACCACAGGACAACTTCTTCCATCTGCCGTCACCTTGCCGATAGCCTCAACCGCTGAGCTCCTGTTTATGCATGTGTTTTCCTTGCCATGACCAGCGATGTCGTCGTTTGTCCAGCCGCCCAAGTGCCACCACTGTAGCTACATGCATGGCCGAGGCTCAAAGGAGTAAGACCACACAAGTTAGAACCCCAGTACCTTGCATGTAGTACCCCAAGAGCCTCCATGTGCCCGTCTTCACCAGCCGTGCACTAGAGAATGAGAGGACAGAGGTAGGCATGCCGTACTTAACCTTGGCATTTTACCGAACACCATAGGTGCACACTTGTTTGAGCTAACCATGAACATCCCATCGGCCCCATCCATGCTAGGTTGGCCTCACTACTGTTAGAACGTGCTGAAACCGTGAGTAGAGTCGCTGCCATGACTTCACGTTTACGCCGGTCATCGTTAACATCCTTAGCGAGTTGTGTAGTTCGCTCGTATGAAGATGTTGTTTTTGGACCGAGACATTTGCAACTACTGAAGTTTTTCAATAGGTTCACATTAACCCATATGTAGGTTTTGCGCCATAAAAACGCCCCTAGAACCAAGAAAATGTTTAATAGATGACCTGTTAGGTCGGTAGAATGTTTCCAGCCGTTTCAGCAGCTCGGTTGAGCGAAAACGATGTTTTTCATTTATCTTCGATTTTAGGGCAGAGAAGACTTCCTTTAGCCGTTTCTCCGTCATACAAACTCGGATTCAAGCGATTCTTTTTCCTGAAATCACGCACTTTCATACTCTGCAAAAATATTTGGATTACCTGTACTATTAAATTTTGCCATTGTATTTATTGCATTCGTTCGGTATTCGTGAAGACAACGATGTTGTCGATCCTGCTGAGGTGGTACCAAAGGAATACCAGGAGGTCCAGGACCAAGGCAAGCTCCCCCTTGATCAATTGCTCATATATTTCAAATATATAAATTGTATTCATTGCAAAACTATTATGCATGGGTAGCTTGCCAATTGCTGCATATACCTTGTCTTTGTTACTTGAGTATCATGATTCATTGTCACCTACGTTATCACTGAGAATTGGGTTCATGTGCTGGGAGGATAGTCGTGTAGAATATGCTTAGCTGGCTTATATCGGTAGTGCTAGTTTTAATCGGATTATTGGGCTTTCGAGAAAAAAATGTTTGCAAAATTATGGAAATGAACAGAGGGTAAAATCTTTATTATCTTGGTGGAAAACTGTGTCCAAATTGATCTGAGACACTAGCGCAAATCACGTGTGGCTCATAGGAAGTCCCTAGCTAAGAGAATTATTGGTTCCAAGCAATAGACCCGTCTGTTGTAGTTGTAGGTCATTGTTGTTGACATTGGATTAATGCCGGTATGGTTATTGTCCATACTTGTCGGTGCCTTTGACGATATTGTGTTCAAGGTTTACCTGCACAACGTTTGAGCCTCGGGCCTTGGAGGGCACTCCTCTGCTAGCTAGTGAAAAGGCTTCGTCATATTGGAACGAGCCTTCTGTATGGTAGCTCAGGTTTAACGTGTCATCTCGGTGCAGTTGTGCACATTCTGCAGAGTTTAAATCTATTCGGATAGTCGTGGCCATGGTCATGGACAACTCGGTGAACCATTCCTTGTTATCCTTGCATTATTACGGATTACCATTGGATACACTAAAAGTCTTGCGGAGTACGTATTGTACTCACACACGCTTGTGTGACTTCTTTTTTTTTAGAGATTGAGGAGGACCTGGCAATCGGGTACTTCTATACAACAGGTTTTGGAGACAATGATGTTGGTGCTTACTAGGACTTAACGGTCAGTTGTTGTGTGAGGGCAGAGACACACTTGCTGGGTTTTGGTGCCTTTATATTATGTTTTCGCTGTGTTTTACTCTCTTATATTGTCTTGTATTCGGCGGATGACCCATGATGTAATTGTTAAAGTCTAGATCATTTATTTACTTAAGTTTGGACTCCTATGTACTGTACTTTGATGATGTATGAACTCTAGTATCAAGGTTGAATGTATGTGCTAGCAATTGATCGTGTAACTAGCACGGCATACATATACGATTTGGGGTCAAACCCAGGTTTGACACTAGGCACCGTAGGCCCAATCCACGTGTACAGTTTAAACAGTCTTGAGAGCCATGCAACACCACAACCTATGTGGATAGTATATATAGCATGATAAAATAAGAAGGGGTTTCAAGTAAATATTTATTATCAGTGCCCACTCATGCATGGTCAGCAGTAGGGTTTGAAATTTCGGAACCCCGGGCAAATATCTCGTCCGCAATTTTTTGTTTTTTTACAATTTTTTGAATTCGATCAACATTTATTTAAATTCAACTAAAATTTATTTAAAATTTTAAATAATTTTGTGAAAAAACCCACCATTTTTTCTGAAATTATTGAAATTCCTGTGACCACTGAAATTGCCATATTTTCGGTCTTTACCAAAATTGGAAACCCTGGGCAAGAGAACCTTCAATTCACCCAACCCTCATCACAGTTCCGGGTTTGGGCTCATCAAAACAGGCAACATCTGACATGACATACATTTTCTAAGTAGCCAGAACGCTAGAGAAGTAAACATTACAGCAATAAAGTAATTGGTGGCGTGCTGGGCTGTTATATTAATTCAACAACACGTTCACGGTCAAATTAAGTTTATCCCAGCATCTTCCTTTTTGCTAAGCACCGGCTTTGTTATCTCTTCTGCATGATAAACTGAGAGGGACGAAACGGGGTTAATTTCTGTTGTTTCGCACTCGTGGTTTCTTACTTGCGCACGCTAGCTGTAACACACCAGCTACTGGTGGTGAAGCGTGAAGGTGAAGGCCTAGCTAGCTTCGTCGTTATCTTTGGACTTATGCCTGCATGCCCACGGCGCCCGCCGCGCGCACACAACATAAGACGACACGTATGTCCGTCCAGCGAGCGCGATCGATCGCTATATATATCCATGCATCCACGTTCGTATCCTTCACACCTCGATCAGTAGCTCCATCGTAAGATCGATTCGACCAACATATCAACAATGGCGCTTCGACGCCTCGCGGCACTTCTCTCCTTGGCAGTACTACTGTCCGCCGGCCTCGCCGCCGTGTCGGCGACGTCCCAGAACACCGGCGACACCGTGATCATCTGGGGCCGGAACAAGGACGAGGGCTCCCTCAGGGAGGCCTGCGACGCCGGCCGCTATACCACCGTCATCATCTCCTTCCTCAGCGCCTTCGGCTACATCCCGGGCACCTACAAGCTCGACATCTCCGGCCACCAGGTCTCCGCCGTCGGCCCCGACATCAAGTACTGCCAGTCCAAGGGTAAACTCATCCTCCTCGCCATCGGCGGCCAGGGCGGCGAGTACTCCCTCCCGTCCTCCCAGGCGGCCGTCGATCTGCACGACCACCTCTGGTACTCCTACCTCGGCGGCCGCCGCAATGGCGTCTACCGCCCGTTCGGCGACGCCAACGTGAACGGCATCGACTTCTTCATCGACCAGGGCGCGAGGGAGCACTACAACGAGCTGGCCAAGATGCTCTACGACCACAACAAGGACTACCGCGCCACGGTCGGCGTGATGGTGACGGCGACGACGCGGTGCGGCTACCCGGACCACCGGCTGGACGAGGCGCTGGCGACGGGGCTCTTCCACCGCATCCACGTCAAGATGTTCAGCGACGGCCGGTGCCCGGCATGGTCCAGGAGGCAGTCGTTCGAGAAGTGGGCAAAGACGTACCCGCAGAGCCGTGTCCTGATCGGCGTCGTGGCCTCGCCGGACGTGGACAAGGACGCCTACATGCCGCCGGAGGCCCTCAACAACCTGCTGCAGTTCATCAACAAGCAGCCCAACTTCGGAGGCGTCATGGTTTGGGACAGGTTCTACGACAAGAAGACCGGCTTCACGGCTCACCTGTGAGTGTGTGACTGGTCGTGACATTTGAAGACCATTAATTCCTTAATATTGGATCAATAAAAGCTTTGTGTGCAGTACTTGTGTACTACACAAATAAAGTCATGTAATGAAAATAAACATATATTGTGTCTGCTATAAAGATTTGTATGTTGGGTAATGTATGTAATCAATAAATAAAGCGAGGTACGGTACCTCGGGTGAAATAATAAAGAGCTTTGAGATAAATAAAACTTCCTTTATCTTAACGATTTTTTTAATGTTACATCAAGTTTTTTTTGCACCTTCGCCCATTACCCGTTGATCCAAGGGCTAGTGTTGCTCGGTTTTGCTAATTAGCGTGTACGCGCGACTTCTCTAAGTCGCACACGTGCCACGTGGAGGGTTGTGATTGGTTGGAAAGAGAATGTTAATGGAGAAATAGTTATATTTTGGATAAATTCTGAGAGCTAAAAGTTATTATATTTTGGGACGGAGGGAGTAGTAACTAAATACATAGCGTATAGTAACAGCATCAACTATGTACAATGGTTTGTCCAATTGTTTATAATCACATCTTATTAGAATAACTCTCAAGTCATGTATTAACTATGACTTGCATCCCCATCTATGTGAGTAACACCTCTCGCTCTAGTTGAATGTGTATGTCTCTTTCACTACTAGAAAAATGATTTTTCATAGCGTTTGGAAAATATTTTTCATGGCGGCTACAAGAAAAAATCGCCAGCGTAGAAAATCGGGGGGTGGGGGGTCACTGGCCGCCAGCGACCATATTAAGAGGTCCGCCATAAAAATACTATATTTTTTTAGGCGGACCTCTTAAATGTCCACCATCAAAAATAAGCGTTTTCGCTAGCGGCTACTAAAGAGATCCACCAGCGAAAAAACGGATCTGCCAGCGAAAAGCACAGCTCACAGATCGATTCCTTCACAGCATCACCCACCCACGCATTTAAAAGCAATTTCACCCACCCACCCACTGCATTCATCTCTCCTCTCTATCTCTTTCTCATCTAAACCTCACCTCTCTCCCCTCCCCTCCCATCCCCTCCCTCAGTCCCTCTCCCTCTCCCAGATCTAGCCAGAGGGAGGCGGCGGCGGCCGCCGCGGCAGCGACGACAGGCGGACCTAGCGACGGCGCTCGGGCGCGGCGGGGCGGCGGCTCTCGGGCGCGGTGGGCGGTGGCGCTCAGGCGCGGCAGGGCGATGGCTCTCGGGTGCGGGCGGGGAGGCCGGATCCGCCGCCGCCGAGCCGCAGGGAGGTGGTATCCGCCGCCGCCGGGCCGCGGAGAGGCCGGATCCGCCGCCGTCATACCACGACAACGACAGGCCGGGCCACGACGACGACGGCGACCACCACCACCACCACGACGATGGGCTGGGCCATGACGACGACGACAACCACGGCGACTGGTGACGACGACCGGAGGGTCTCCTCCTCCCTTCCCTCTCCCTCTCCCAGATCTAGCCGGAGGGAGGGGGCGGCGGCCGCCGCGACGGCGATGGCAGGCGGGCGACAGCGATTTTGATGAATTTCTCCATTTTATGTTTGTATTGATGTTTCATACATGCATGTATTAATGTTTGTTTGTTGAGAATGAAGTGAGAAATTGATGTAGTGTTCTCTTAAGGTTGGATGATTGGATTTGATGTGGATTTGAATTGTTATGGATTTGAGATTTGGGGATGTGGATTTGGGATGCTGGAGGCTGGAGAGGGAGAGGGGTTTTTGCTGGCGGCTGGAGGACAGCTACATATGGTTGTTTTTTGTCTCAAAATTAATTATCACTGGCGGCCGGTATAACACAGCCGCCAGTGAAAATCAATTTTTGCGGGCGACTGATAACCGCTAGCGAAGATTGATATTTTCTCTGGCCTTTGCTTTGTGGCCGCTGCAATTTCTGCCAGGGAAAATCTAAAATGGCCGCCACGAAAGATGATTTTCGTAGTAGTGTTTTTCCCTCTCTCTCCTTTCTTCTTGCCCCAGCCTTCATCTCTCTACCACTAGTGAAATCTACGAATAAACTAGAAAATAAAACAAAAATATATAGGTTAAAGCCTCACATGCTAACCATATATAGTTGTTACTGCACAAAAGTAGAAGTGTTACTATATGATAGGTACATGTTACCACTTCCAAGTAGCCATGTTACTGCACGGTAATTGTAGTTTTACTATGTCATTTTTACAATATGAAAATCGAATAGGTGAGCTATAGGTAAAGTCTGTAGGTGGCTTTGAGCGAGGTCTGATTGATGTAGGAGTGTTTTGAATAATTTTATACATTTGGTAAAACCATGTTACTGCATGTATATGCCCTTGCTACTACAAACTACACATTCTATTATTGCATGTGGAGGGTTAAAGTTTAAAATACCAATATTTGAAAAACAATATCTCACAAGATATGTATTGTTTTTTAAAACAGTTTCCACTATGATGCTATAGTGTTACTGTATGTGGAGGGTTAAACTTCAAAATGCATCTACGCACTCTCCTCCTCAAAGAAACAGTTCTTCCCCTCTCTTCTCAATAAAACCGGTCTCATCACTCCAATATAGTGTTACTGCATGTATATGACGTTACTGCAATTTTGACAGTAATATTGTAGTGAATTGCAGTAAATCAGGAATTGAAACAAAAATATTTGGGTTAAAAGTCTCAGATGCTAACCATATACTTGTTACTGCACAAAAATAAATGTGTTACTGCACGGCAGATACACGTTATCACATGACAGTTACACCTTACCGCATGTTTATGCAGTAACACTATCCAAGAAATGTACTAAAACACTTTGTTAATGTAGAACATATAGAACGTTACTACACCTTTGGTAATAATATCGTGGTGAAATTGTAGTAAACCAGGAATAAAAAAATATAGATTCACATGCTAAATATACTTGTTACTGCACAAGTGGAAGTGTTACTGTATGGCAGGTACACGTTACCACATGTTTATGGAGTAACACTATACAAAAATTGCAGTAAGACGCATTGTTATTACAAAACTTATGATCTTTTCTATATACTAGAAAAAAAATACCCGTGTGTTGCAACGGATAAAAATATTTTCAGATCGCTATACATTTTACTCTTTGGTTTTGGACCAAAAGCTCACTATACATTTACTCTTTGTTTTCAGACCAAAAGGTTATTCCCTTGTTCCTTTCTTGCCACCTCCCCTTGCTTGGCCTGCTTCACTTTAACTTAACCCATAGCCTGCTTCTATTTGACCGAACCCACAAGAGGAGTTGTAGTTACAGCTCGCATAGCTGACTACCGTCTTCAACCTCCGGAAAATGGTGAAAACATCTCATGTCCATACAATGCCAGAAACGGTCCTCCCATCAATTCCGATCGAATCTTTCTCGATCTTACAAAATTGGTTGACTGCTTTTATACAATCGATCTGTTCTTTCCGTTTTTATAAAAATCAGAGCGAATCCACAAAACCCATGACAAAAACGGTGACTTTTAAATATAGATTAAATCCGTTGAATTAAAACAGCGTTGAAAGAGAAAATCATGGGGAAAATGATGAAGTAGTGGGGAATCGATTTTTGCAATTAATTAGAGTAGGGAAAAAGAAAAACCGGCGCAAAAAAGACGGATGGAAGAAAACAGAAAATAAAAAAAAAAGGGAAGATGGACGGATGGAAGAAAACGGAAAAGAAAGAAGAAAGAAAAAGGAAAAAAGGAATATGGATGAAATTTTTTAGTGGAAGCCTTGCGTATTTTTTAATTAGGTATAGACTTACAGTAATATCGTGATGGGATTGTAATAACGCACAACAGATAGTAGTGACGAGTAATAATAATGCTATAGTACTACTTACTTGTAGAGAGTCAAATTCCAAAAAAGTCAAGCTTTGAAGAACAATATCTCTCACGTGATGTATGATTTTTTTAATTGTTTGCACCATGATGCTAGGAAAAAAGTGCTTATTAAAAGTAGACCCGTCATGATTATATTTTAACTAAATTTGAATATTGTTACTGTACGTAAGACAAAGTGTTACTGCACAGTGGTCTGTCGTGTTATTGCACCGTTTTGCGAGATAAGAGCTGAGAAGAGGTGGGCGGTGGGGGGAGTTAGTAGGTGATTTGACCAGGATTTGACCGACGTGGGGATGCTTTGACCGACCTTTGACTGAGATGGCAGGTGGGTTTTGAACCCTTAGAAAGGAGGGAAGGTGGGTTTGGCCCTTGGGAGAGAGGGGGGAATAGAATAACTATTCTATACCATAAAATCTATTCGGAGAGGCCTCTCGTTTTTGCCTTAACCAGCAACGTCGGAACGCGCGGAGAAATCAACTGTAGCTTACTACATGCATGCATTTTTTTTTAGAAGTCTACTACATCACATGTATGTTATTTTCTTCTTCAAACAAAGTTTTCTCTCAAATTACTTATCCGATCTACAATCCGATTACATTATTGTGTTCGTTACAATTAAATCTTCACAACAAGATTTTACATGATTATATTACGATGAAAAAATATTTATATTTATAAATTATTTTTATTATATATGTAAGTTACTTTTATCATATATATATATAAGTTACTTTTAGATTTGAATAAATTACTTCTTAGATATATAAAAGTAAATTCAATAGAGACTAAAAGTAATTAACATATATTATAAAAGTAACTTAAAACAAAACGGAAGTAACTTTGTCACGACATTATAAGTAAATTCGTTGTAGAGATAAAAACATAACTTTATCTAGAAATAAAATTTAATCAGCATATATCAACACACGTAAGTTTAACAATTTTTAAAAGTAACTTCAATGTTAATTGGAAGTAACTTTTGTATGGTTAAAAATAACTCTATAAATCTGTTTAATCATCGATTGTTTTTTTTCCTTTTATTTTTAGCTATGTAGTCACGTCCAATGAAAAAGGGTATTCATTAAAGTTACTTTCTTTTTCTTTTTGTTACGAGTTATTTCTATAATATATGTAAATTACTTTTAGCCTTTATTGAATTTACTTTCATATGTCTAGAAAGTAATTTAGTGAAATCTAAAAGTAATTTAGATATATTATAAAAGTAATTTATCATTTTTCATCAAAATATAATTATGTGGGATCTTGTTATAAAGATTTAATTGTTACGAACACAACGGTATAATCGGATCATAGATCGAATGAGTAGTTTAAGAGAAAATTGTATTTGAAGTATGTGGATAGTATCTCTAATAGATGGAGTGGTAGCTGGTTTAGAGACAAATCAGCTACCAGTAGCTGTATAGTCACATCCATTCTATACCCTTGGATTCGCCGATTACATGAATCAATTTGATTAATGTATTTGTTTTCACTTGTTCTAGCATGGATATTCAATCGAATTATAAGATCAAATGGATGGTACAGGTAGAATCTTCGCAATCTTTTTATTAGTATATAAGTAGTACCTTCATTGTAGAATATAAGAGATTTTAGGTTTAAACACTGGTATTAAAAAAGTAGATCAAATTATTTAAATTATTTAAAAGAATATTGTAATTGGTTAAAAAAAAGAGAAAGCGAAGAATTTAAATGATGAAAGGTTATGATTGGTTGAGAAAATAATATAAGTTAAAAAAATTTATATTTTAGGATAAATTTTAAAGGGCTAAAAGTTGTTATAGTTTAGAACGAAGGTTGTACCAAGAAGGAACATCTTATGAACAAGTTGTCTTGCAAGCGCGTCCATGTGCAGGGCGAATAGTCCCATAAAAAATTTGAGGTGAAAAATACTGATGAGTAACGTGAGGTCGTGAGCTAGATGCATAATCAAGGGATGTATTAACAGCCTGCACTCTCTGTTACAACATTGCCACAACGCCAGACCTTGGTGTGCCGCTGGCGATCAGCTACAATATTATGTCTCGGGAAAAGTCGGATAACGGGTGAATTATTTGCATGCATGATACATGACCTGCTATGCTCGTATCATTTGTACATTGTAACCACTAACCAGCACAGCTTCTTTCTGTTTGAGATGCACTCAGAACTCCGTGGTAACTCTAAAAGCTTTACTCAGCCGACCAACAAAGATACAAGCGCCCAAATCCAGAGAACCAGCAGGAGAAACAGCGATTTATGTCAAACCCAAAAGACAAACCACTATGGGTCTGATCTTACCTTACAAATGCAATAAATGAAGAAAAAGAAAAGAAGGAAATAAGATGATCTGAACATGAAATGTTCCTCCCCTTCTGATAGCCTGTGCCAAGCCAGAGAAAGAGTGGATGGGGCAGAACAGGAGAATAGAAGGAAAACATCGGTGGAGCAGGAAAGGGCTATCTATATGAGGGAAGCATTATCCATACTCCCTATGGCTTACTTTGCATTCCTGTAGCGGTCCAATACTTCATGTCGTTGCAAAGGCGAGACAGACAGCAACCACTTACTAAACTCAAGGTCGTTCATACCCATGAAAGATGCAATTCGGCTGAATTCCTTCTTTTTCTGCACCAGTGAGTAAGATTTTGCCTTAATTGTATGCATTGTTTCATTCTTCTTACTTTGCAGCTCCTCTAAGTGCCTTGGGACAGTTTTATCTTCTGCACAGTTGCTTGCTTCATTTGTCCTCGTGTTTACAACATCTTCATTTCGGTGAGCATAAACTATTCCTGTTTGTAGGGAACAGAATTTGTTACAAGAAAAAATCAATGCACCAATACGTAGACAGAGGGGAGATATTCTGGTAGACAACTTAGCAAGCAACTTTCGGGTTTCAATCTTAGTCAATATGAGTTTTTTGCAATTGACAAATCAGTTTTTACTGGAAACAGTAAACGTAGCAACTAATAACAGAATCCTACATAGATCAAGATGTCAAAGACTTGCATACTTGACCAAGTGTTTATTTATTTTAGACTAAATTTCAAACTGCTACTGTTTTGTCAGAACTATCCGTTTGCTGTAAATTTAACTGAACATTTCAGAAATATGCAATAATAATTGATTGTTTTATTTTTTTTTTCATAGAACTGAAACTTTATTCTTATTATAGGTCAGGCCCCCCTGTCAATACACATCCTAAAGTTAGAGAACTGATAGTTTCATGTGAACCCTTTTACCCCCACACTTTTTTTCCTTAAGAAAGTAGAGTTGGTGGTGGTGGGGGGGGGGGAATGATTTTCAATATTCTTGTAAGATGAGATTGATACAAATATAATTACTAATTTCCTCTATTTTATTCAGAACGTAAGTTATTCTATATTGCATTTCACAGACCAGATATTTTTCTGTTCATAGGATTATAGATATATAATGTTGCAAAACCATATCAATCTACAAATGTTAGTGTCATTTGAGCTCTATGGGATATGGGACATAAACTTTTCTTCAAAATGTATGAAGAGAACTTAGGGCAGACAGTGAACATAAACTAGAATAGGATGAACAGCAGGGCTAAATAAATCGATACAAACATATGAATGTTACAAAAATTGAATGCACAACAATGCAAAATATTTAGAGTCAGTATTTGAAATTAAAATTTAATCTAACAATTAACTATTCAGCCACTAGTATATTATTCAGTTTCCCATAATAGTAATAGTAATAGTATATTATTGGTCATTTTGAAATTGAAACTTTTCATAAAGCATTTAAGGTCCAAAATCAAGAAAATTAAATTAGAAATATTCAGACTGACAGTAGAACTTACCACAATGGTACAAATTCTTGTTCTCGTTATGTATTGCTGTCATTGAGGATTTCATTTGATCTTGCGTACCAAATATATTTGTATCAACTATTTCTCGAATTCCTATTGTTTCAGCTGTATTACCCTTCCCATGTTCTCCATGCATTTCAATGATCTCACTGGTGAAAAGCTTATCAGACAAGTCGCGAAACAGATTGCATATCCCAAAGAGCTCACCTTGAAATTTTTTGTCATCCTAAAATCATATAATTATACAATTTATATAAACAAAGCACCAAAGCCAAGTGTGATTATTCTTAAAACGTGAAAGGTATATGTGCTGGTAAATGACTAAGAAACTTCAAGAGAGTGACGCATAACTTCATGACTTCTGAACTGTCGAAATGTAATCTAGTGAATTGATAGATGCCTTATTCTAAAAAAAAGTATTCATGTTAACACAGAATTTGGAAAGTCATGAGGTAAGGTGAGAAAACTATCTAGTTAAAAAAGGCAGCATTGCCCTAGATTTAATACATGTAGTGACACATCATTTTACTATTCAGGTGCCATAGGACACTGCAACAGAAAATAATGAATCTACCTTAAGTGCTGTATGTGTATTATGAGTGCAACCATTCTCTTATGCCTATGACTGCTAAGCTAGGAACCAAAATAGGAAGTACATTAACATATGGTGATGTATGCAACAATGTAGGAATAGTGCAAGGCAGTTCATGTGTCACGTGTTTGATTCTGCTAAATTGCTACTCTTAACAACAAATATTAATATCAGTATCATGTGGATTACACAATGTCTACGCTTGTTTGTTAACAATACATCATCCAGGTAGTTTGCATCAACTTACAAACTCTAAATTCTCTGGTGAGTATATTAAACTGCATAATCAAATGGTCGAAATACAATAATTTTCTGAATAAAATATGAATGTTATGATTGTAATAATCAGTCCAAATACAAGCACGGGAGAAACACGTATTTTGGGAAATGGAAAAAATATAAGGACCTAAATGACTAGGTAATTCAGGGAAATGATTTTAGAACAGGAAAAGGGAATCATATTAGGATGGTCCACAATTGTACCACCCTTCAAGTAATTGAAACAATCAATCCAATTTCATCAAAATGCATTAGTTTTACAACATTACCTGCACTCCTTCAAAGTAACGTTTTTCTATTTTTCCAGAGACCGCAATATTGGAAAGCTGTTGCTTATATATTTGTCGAGAATAAATAAGCTCTTCAAGGGAACCAGCACCAAGTAGGCGAAATACAGTGACATGCCGCCTCTGTCCAAATCGAAATGACCTGTCTTGCGCTTGCAAGTCTTGCGCAGGGTTCCAACTTGGGTCAAAAATCACCACACGATTAGCACTGACCAGGTTGACACCTAAATTTCCTGCCCGTGTAGATATAAGGAAAACCTGTAGAAAAGCAATTCACCATTTGACGATGCTAATCTAAAAAGTTCTTTTGGCAGCGAGTACTGAAATGCACATCAACAGGAAGTTACCTGTTTGCTTGGGCATCTATTGAACTCATCAATTAGTAATTGGCGTGCATTCATGGGAGTCGTTCCATCAAAGCGAGAAAAGCAGTAACCCTTCCGTATAAGAAATTTCTCTAGTATGTCAAGCATCCTGGTTGTCAATTTATGCATGAACAAGTGATTACACATGCAGAAGATATAACATCAAGCAGCATATCTAAATCGCAAGTACTGTCAAGAAACGTTCCAAGAAGCAAACGCAGTGAACAAGAACTAAGATAGATGCTTAAGAGAAAAATAAGCTATTCGATACAAGCAAGTTTTGTTTTAACTTACTTTCAGGTCTAAATAAATAGGTTTAGTTTGTGTTCAGTGTAACCTGTCTAATCACATTCCCTAAAAGTGTATTTAAAGAAAGGCAAGTAGAAGGAAGTTTACATCTATTCAATGATTTAACGCTCTATACTGTCAAAGGTATATAAACCACAACTTCAGCAAAAACTGGAGCATGATGGGCTTGTGAGAAATTATACCCACTACAGTAAGTAATGATATTTTATGAACATTTAGTAACAATCAATTCCAAGGTCTTACATCAATAAGAGCTTTTTGTTCAACATCAAATATGGTTTAAAACAAAGAAATTTTCTGACTTGTGAGATATGTTATTCTTGCTTTAATCTTCATGCTTACTGAAGCATTGGACACATTGGGGATAACCACTCACCTGACTGAATAGCTGAAAAGAAGAATTTTGTCACCCTGCAGAGTCCATAATGACAATAGTCTTTCCAACGCACGCATCTTTCCACAATGTTCTGCATCACTGAGACCCATGAAGTTTTCACTTTTAGCACCTCCACCAACTAATTCAATATCTGTGTCAAAGACAGCAGCTGCAAGCTCAGCATCTTTCTTCTGCTTCTCAATTTCGTCTTTCAGGTTTGGCTTTATCAGCTCCAGATGGTTACTGATCTATGGAAAATTAGTGGGGAATTATTAAAAAAACATAAATCTTTCCAAAATATTTTAAGAATATGAAATAACCTGCTGAAGCTTCCCAAGGCAAGGAAGAACAAGACAGAAGGGGCACAGAGAACAACCCTCTGGATTGTCTCTGTGAAGATAAGACCAGATAATGCCATGTGGTTCAGTTCTCTTGCAGCATTCCACCTGAGTCAAAGGACTTCCACAGCTACATGGGAGATCCTTGTTTATAAGGATTTGCACGTCAGGCTGTTGCAGCATTCTTCTGTAAACGCGCTTTTGAACGTCACTCATTCTGCAGAAAACAATATTATCCTCCTTTCCAAGCATGAGATGCCCAATGGTCTCTTCCTTTGTTCTTCTCAACAGAAATTTGCTAAGAACTGAAACAAGGTGCTTCTTGCGCTTATCAGCAACTTGTACAAATCTCTCAGGAGCACTGAACCTCTGGCCATGTTTTAAAGGCTCGTCATAATATACTCGAAAGTGTTCTCGATCCCCCAAGCAACCAGGTACAATCCAGTCAAACAGATTAAATAATTCCATTATTTTATTTTGCATTATGGTTCCTGTGAGACCAAACCGCTTTCGAGTAGTAATTTCCAAGCAAGCTGTATATAACTTTGATTTTTCATTCTTCAGCCGGTGTGCCTCATCAACAACCACAAGGTCCCACGAGATGCCACACAAAATCTTGCCATGAATCCTAAAAGTGTCAAAACTGGTAATAACTATCTCTAGTCTTTGAGTTTCAACCTTTTGAAGAACCAGGTCACGATTTGGGCCATGATAGACAGCAACAGAACATCTTGCCCACTCTGCAAATTCATTTTCCCAGTTTCGAATTACTGATGTGGGGCAGAGGATGAGTATAGGGGCAATCTTTCTTCCTTCCACTAATTGATCACCGTGGTCATTATCTTTTCCAATAACAGCTGATAAGAAAGCAATTGTTTGGATAGTCTTTCCCAAACCCCTAAATCAGAAAAAAAAACATGAGAAACAAGGGAGTCAGAACTCAGAAGTCCATCAAATTTAAATGTTGTGTTGAAAAATCTCATTATTATGTTTTCGGTTTGAGATTTAATAATAGGTGAGTAGAAAAAAGCTCCCCAAAAATAAAATGCTCAAGCTTGCTATCGACCCTGAGATTTTTTTTCCCAACAGACCTACAGGGTATGCTTATGTGATGCCGGTGCAAGTACCTGTCAATCATCCACATGCTTACCCATCATGCAGAATATGAGCAAACTATGTATATAAATTGATGATAAGAACAGAATAAGACCACGAAGTAAACCGCCAACGGATTAAAGCTACATACAGTGGGAATGGTTTAGTTATTAATTTTTCACAAAATAATATAAACCATGCAAACTATGTGCATGGTTATTACATAGAAGTTTAGGAACATCAGGACATATGCAATACATGTATTATCTTTTAAAGACTATAATTTTAAGATACTTTTCAAACTAACTACAATTTCCCTGTCACAGTTTTGTAAAACTTTAAATAAACTTAAAAAAAAACTAGTTATCATGTCGGAGTTTAGACTTTAATAAAGCAATAGTAATAAGTCACTTACAAAATCTTTTTAAGAAAAAAATCCCTTGTATGATATAATCTCCTGGTTGTGAGTAATATTACCAAGTTTCATTGAATTTGACGATTTAAGCCCACAAACCTATCAACCACAATGTTTTCACATGGATAGAAAGAGATATGTATTGTTTTGGATATTGTATAGTTTCATTTCAGTTCAGCCACAATCAGGAGATTATATCATACAAGAGTACAAGTTATTTAGCAGTGTACTTATACTGTAACAAAATAACTTCCAAACCTCACATGTCATCTCCAAGCACACCGCCATGGTTGTTTCTATACAGATTGTATAAGAATCTTACACCATCCCTCTGATGCACAAGTAGCCTGCAATTTATCGAGGAGGGTACCTGTACCAAACAAAACAGAGGAAAGCACAGCAAAGTGAATGTGCTTGTAATAACTAAAAAATTGCTCTAACTAAAAATAAAAGAGAGGCTAAAGTGAGTAAAATTCTGTTGAAGGAGGGACTAAAGTGAACAGAGGGAAGGGATATTAGGAGGGAAAGGGAAGCCACATCTGTTATATGGTAGTTAAAGGGATATTAGGATATGATTGATTTGTATTATGTCTTCCTTATCTCTTGTACTATACACACCTGCCCCAGCCCTGAGGCTCAATATAATCATCAGGTTATGCTGTAATCTCTCCTCCTATTATTCAACATGCTATCAATCACCCAAAAAAAAAAAGCCATGGCAGGTGCAAAACATTGGTCAGAACCTATCACGGTGCGAGAACCTGACCAGTCGCCACTCGCCAAGAACTGTGGACCGGAACATCGAACAGTAGTAGCCAAGAGGGAGGCGGCAGCATAGATTTTACCTGGACGACGGGGCGCTCTCCGGGCGGCGAGAGAGCAAGCGGTTCGTAGGGCCCGCGGGAGTCGAGGGAGGCCGCTGGCGGAAGGGAAGCGCGGGGGCGGATGCAGGGGACCTCGTCCTCCTCCTCTGGCAGCGGCGGCGCATCATCCGCCGCCGCATCCGAGGTCGGGGAAGTGCGAGGGGGCGGTGGCGGCGAGACGGAAAAGGAGGAAGAGGAGGAGGAGGCATCAAGGCGGAGGAGCTGCTGCGAGAGGGACGTTTTTGGGGGCCTCCTGGCGAGGAGAGGAGGAGGTGATCGGGGTTGGGACTCGGATTGGGGCTGTGAAAAGGAGGAAGACTGGAGGGTTTCTTTGAGGCTGTGGAGCGACATGGCGTTGCTTGGCAGGGGAGGAGGAAACCGGTCGGCGGGGGTATTTGTGGGGACGTTTTGCATCCTCCTTTCTTCCTTTCTCAATAAGAACTTGCAGTCTTGGTTCCGTACTTCCGTAACATAAAACACACAAAACCTTCCATACTAAAAGATTGTGTCTTATACACACAAACTTGTTCACGCTCCATAAATATTAAATAATAAATTTTACCAAAAAAATCTGAAAATTGCATTACACATATATGCAAAGTCTCATCTAGAAAATTTGTTATGTTTTCACCATAAAAATAAAAACAAAATTCCGACAAATATATATTTTTTCTTTATAGTTTTTGTTAGGGCCTTCACAATGTAACTACATGGCGTTTGGCCTCGTCAATCCACATAGGCGAATGGCTTGCGTGGAGGAGAGAAGAGGGTGGGGACCATGTTTTCATGGGGTTCTCACATAGTCGCGTCCTCTCCAGGTACAAAGAGTCTCATCAGTTTTGTCAGAAAAAAGCGCGCAGAGAGTGGAACTCGAAGAGTGGGGGGAGAGAGAGGAAGACACTGCCGGAGAGGGGAGGGGCTTGCCGGCATCGATGAGGACGACAGGGCAACGCCAGCACTGGCGAGGAAGCGACGTTGGTAGCGGCAGGTGCAGAACCCGTCTCCAGTCTCCCCCGCCGGCGAGGAGGAGGCACCATCGATGCTGAGCTGCTAGATCTGCCCTGAGCTCGTCGCCTGCACCATCGCTGTCGACGCCGCCAGCTTTGCATTGAGCTCCTTTCCCATGCTGGCGAGGAGGAGGTGCTGATGTCGCCAGATCCGCCCCGAGCTCATGGCCATCCACGCGCACACGGTGCTGAGTTTGTTGCCGCTTCGACCCGCTGTCGCATCGCTCGATTTCCACCGGAGAAGCTCGCTAACTCGAGGAGGGGAGACCAGATAGGGGAGAGGAGTGGGACGCTGACGTCGCCAGGTCCGTTACGAGCTCACCGTCGGACCAGCCCGAAGCTCACTAGCCGCGAGGGATGAGTGAGCAGCTGGGAGGAGAATGAAGAGAGCTAACCAAAGGAGGATGCTGTGGGTGGTCACCATCTCGTCGGAGGAGGTGATGAGCCACCGGCAACGAGAGGAGGAAGGAGAGTCGCCAGTGGTGAGGTGAAGTGGGGGATTTTGGATTTGGTCAAAGGTGCTATTTTATAATAGTTTCTGATTTTAAGGGTGTTTAGTGTAAATTTTGGATCTATATATAGATCTACAGAATTTGAGGACTAAAATATAAAAGGCGAAGGCTGACTTGCACAACACCATTTATTGCTATATAAATTCTATCAAAGGAAATTATTATACAGTAACAAGGAAAGCATCAATGTTTCCTTAATTTGATATGAAATTTGCAATTCTATAAAAACATAAAAGCTTCAATATTGAATTAGAAATTTAGTAGACTTATTGTAAAATTCATACAAAGAAGGAAAATGGAAATAAATTAAAATACTTTGAATTAACTACTAAAACGATTTTTGTGGTGTTCCCCTTTTATTTTTACTGACGGACCAATGAAACAAACGCTTGTAAAAATGTATTGGCAGATTCCATGTCATGAGCTGCTAGCGATAACTGATTTTCGCTGGCGAGCTCTTAGGAGGCCACCTTAAAAGATAGCTCTATTTTATAAGGCAGGCCTCCTAAGAGCCCTCCAGTGAAAATTGGTTTTTGTTGGTGGTAACTAATTAACCACAAAAAAAATTACGCTATTAAAATTTCACACCACCCACAACCATGGCCCACCAAACCCTGGCTCCCTCGCCTCGCCTCCGCGCTCCTCGGCCTCGCCGCTTCTCCTTCACTTGCCGCCTCTCCTCCCTTCTCGCTCCTCCACTCACTGTTGGTGGCTGTGAAGTGCAAAATATATACCACCAACATCTGTATAAAGTACAGATAATAAAACATCCAACATAGTGATAGGGATTATTTCTAACATATGCCACGAGTGTTGGTGAATATCCAATATAGGACATAAACCACCAAAGTTGGGAGGAAAATCAGACTAAAGTAAGGAAGGAGTATATCCATGCAAAAGGTGGGCTGTAGACTTCATCAAAATATCAACGAATCAGCCTAAAACTCGCAGGAATGAATAAGGCAGAATAGGAGGAGTCCATAGGCCGAAACTGAGGGCCAGATGGGCCTGATCAACACTGTTGATCCTGGGGTTTGGCAAGGACGGTCCAGATGTGCTCCTGATGGGGTTGCGGGGCATTTCGGACAATTCCCCTTTCAATAACCGTCATACCTACCCTATTTAAGAAGCTTCACTCCTTCACTCTCACACGCACTTCCAAGCTTGAGCTGAATTACAAGAGGCTCTATTGTATTATTTGTATACTAGAATTAGGAAGATAGTAGAGTAGAAGAAGTCGGAGGAATTCCGGAGCTGTCGGTAATCCTCTCCTGTTTATTTTATTCTGTTTATTACTCTAATACCATAGGATTATCTTCCTGAGTAATTTAGATTTATCTTGTGAGAATTACCTCTTGGTTAGTTCCTAATTAGCATATGGGATTATTGTTCACTATAATCAACTAAACTATAGTGATTGCTTTGATGAGTTATAAACACTAAAATAGATATTAATTGCTTAGACGTGGTGTTTAGGTAATTATTATCCAGTAATGTTGCATATCCCATAGTACGTTTGAGGTAGGTATAGAGGTGGTGACAACCCTCAAGAGCACTTAAGTCCTCCATATCCGGGTATATAGTAGAGCGATATCTAGGAACAGTAGGTTGCCAGTGCCTGAAGTATTGTGTTAGGATTAAAATTAAGCTTTCCCTAGACACTATTTCTCACTAGGAAATCATCTAGGAACAGTAGGTTGCCAGTCCCTATTTTTTTTGCTTGGTGTCCTTGGATGAACCGGAGGAAGAATTAATCACACACGTTCCCTTGAATTCGATACCATTGGAATACTCCATAGGGGAAGTAATACATCAGTATATCCGTGCGCTTGCGGATTCTATCTGTAATCGTAAGAAATACCAACACTCACCTCGCCCCCTTGGCTCTCCTACTCTCCCCCCTTCCACCACCTCCAAGGCACGCCATGCTGCCGTTGCGTACCGCCACCTCTCCTACCTCCACGCTCCTCCACCTCTGTCATGCCCAGAAATTCACAAACCAGAATTCCCAAGAAAAATGTGCATTAAAACCCCTGTCCAGCACTGGACAAGGTACACAGACAACAAAATTTGCATACAGATCCACGTCTTACAAAATATCATAAAAGTATTACAAATGCAGTGGAAAGATAAAGCTAGCTAAACATAGGATAACTGATACTAGCAGCGCGACGACTCCACACCATAGGCATCTTTAATGGTAGTGACAAAGCCTACTCCCCTGAGTAACCTCCATCCAGGAAGCACTTCAACTCTAATGTGGGGGAACAGAGCAAGATTGTGTACTACCCACTGTACTCAACAAGTCATACCAGAAGAGAGGGTATGATGCAAGTAATTACAAAGGAGGCTAGGTGTTCTTTTGCATAAAGCAGGTATTTAAAGTAGTAGTTGAAAGTAGTAAAAATTGTTGAAGTAAACTAATCAATATTAATCATCACTATCCAATGCTAAACCACGTTGCGACATGCCCAACCATCCACCTAAACTATACCAGTTCCATTAAGCAATATTAATCTGGTTGTTTGCCCACAACCACAAGCAAGGCATCACAATTGTACCCACAAGACATAGCCCCACAATACATTTTCGTGTGCTGGCATGCCACCGTGACATACCGGACAGGGACTGTAATAGGACCCTTCGCATAACCCCTTCGCAAGTTTCGCCCCTACCCTTAAAACAGGGGTAGGCAGCCCCCTCTTGTGCCGCGGTATATCCATAAGCCAATCAAACCTTAAAACCGGGGCCCGACCCAACTCCATCACGCCCACCCTTACCTAGGAAAGTTATATAGGAAAGAGCTATACTACAAGCCTAGCCGTTGCCCACATTGGCTTGTGGAGAGCACGGTAATTCTTACAGGGTTTCCTGTGAACCGGTCCTTACATGCCATGGGCGCGTTTATCAAAACCATGCGCCCACAACCCATTTGATATGTTTTAGTTGAATTAATAACATGGTGGTACATCTCCATAATTATCATCATTAAAACAGGATAGAAGTTCTATGTGATACCCCATAGTGAGCTAGTTGATCTAAGCATGGCCAAGCATTTTCCTAACCAACCATCTAATCATATTAATTCCCAGGTTAACAATGGCACAAGGTAAGCGATATAAAGCAGAGTAACAGGAACCATCCCACATGACATTATAAAACATCGCAATATTAAATAGAAAGCGAGATATTTATGAAATATACACAATATGATCAAATGTAATGCATGACTTGCCTTGCTCCGGTGCTACTGGGAACTCCGCAACAACTTCAAAGTAAACCAGAGCGTCGGAACTGCCGGAATCTACGCGACAAACAAAGCATATAAGTAAAATAGAATATAAGTGTAGATGGTCGTTAGCGATCAGTTTCGACCGTCAATATTACCAAAATAGAGGAGAACTAGTTATGCTTGCAATGCATATCCATGTTAGAATAATAATATTCCACTAGTATTTGGTTCACTAACCTTTTGTAGAGAATAACCATAAAGTGGAGGAGAATCGACATCAAATCAAATGATAAATCAATCGAACGATGTCGTGACTCATACTTATGCATGAATGGGCCAAGAACTTAGAATTAATTGGGCCAAAATTTACAAGTCTGCGTAGGAGAGCAACGGAAGAGGCCACCTGCCAATTTTGGGCCAGGTTGGCCTGACCCATGGTTCGGCTGAAGCCCCCGCAGCGTCGTTCGATCCAGGTTTCTCCTGGACGACTGAGATGGCTCCCCAATGATGGTTGGTGGGTATTACCGACCTTTCCAACCATCACAACCGTCATTGGGAGGCTATAAAGGAGCTGTCATCATCACTCCACACACACACCTCAAGCAAAGCTTTCTCATATTCTCTCAAGTTTAGTTTAGTGTTATCAAGCTAGTGGAATAGGAATAGAGTAGAAATCGGAGTCCGGAAGCCTTCGGAAGAGTTCGGGTATGGCTCTAGTAGCTCTTCTCTTCTCTTTTGTAAGCTTTGTACTATTATTAGAATACTCTTCTTTATACATTTATGGTATTGGAATACTTTCCAAGTATATGAATGCCAACTTTACATTATGTTCATGTTATACTGATTATACTTCTAGCTTATTTGGGAGATGCTTTGGTGCGGGTATAATGTTTGCTTATGCAATTACTCTATGTCATGAAGATGATATTAGAGTAGTATCTGGTAGTTTAGACGTGGTGTCTAGATTACAGGGTATCATTATTTGGGGTTATATGCTGCGGATGAGAGGTGGGCCGCTGATGGTGACAACTTAGTACGGGTATTTCTCCGTGCGTGGATATAGTCCTAAGTTAATTTCCTGGGGAGGGTACTCCTCCGTATTTAGCCTCGGTTGTATGGTCATGACGGGCTGTCGTAAGGAACTCGGCAGTCAGGGGTGGCTTCTCGAAGTACCAGGAGGACATCGGATAGAGGGTATTAGCTAGTACATCAGATAACTAGGATGTATGTAGACTATGTATACTAGAAGTATAGGAATAGATTCTCTTTCTCTTTTTTTTCCACTTAGTTTAGATATTTTAGTATGAGAATGAGTAGCTCCCTACTTGTGTGTCACTCTACCCTTGAATTATATTAACCCCTACTTAGACTATGATTATTACAAGTAACATATAAATTATTAGTCAGGTTCTCTCTACCATGATCTTCCCATGGGATTAAATAAATACGATACCCTTGGAATACTCTCAGGTGAAATGCTACAATGGTATATCCATGTACTTGCGGATGAACTCTGTAACCATAATATACTAGGAGTATTTCTGCGCCATTGCTGGGAATTATATTTCTAGTAATGCCGTTAAGAAATACCAACAATAAGATTACTGAAACATGAAACAACACTATTTTTAGTGGATTCTAGGCATTCTTATGAATTTACTATAATTTGAATGGACTTAAACGGAGCTCGGATGAATTAGTTATGAAATTTAGAATAGTCACTGTGTTTTTACGATTAATAGAAAACACCTTAACGAATTATTGTGCATTAAAGCTTATGGGTTGATGTCTCAAGGGAGGGAGGCCAGCACGATAGTCGGGCTCCACCGGTCAGTGGTGCAAGTCGGGCGGCGCACGGTGAACCAAGTCCATCGGGCCAGGGACGGGCGCACCACGTGGCGTACACGTGGCGCTGACATGGTAGCCACGTGGGTGGCCGAACGAACAGCCCCGATCTGCTCCGAAGCAGATCGGACGTCTGTGGAGAAGCGGTGGCCGGCCAGCCATCCCAACCGGGAGGAGGCAGCGCAAGTGACCACCGGCGGCAGCTGCCGGGATGCGGAGGCGTGCACGAGTGGCGATGGTGCGGCAAAGAAGAGGAAGGAAAATGGGAGGAGAGAGGAGGGATTCCTCACCGGTGAAGGATGATGACTGGTGTGAAGGGATGACGGCGATAGTGGCAAGGGGCGGAAGGGGCTATAGCATGATCTAGGGAAGGAGAGGAGAGAGATTAGACAGATAGGTACCACGGCAGCGAGCATTGCCGGTCGGAGTTTGGTGAAGATGGAGGTCTCACCGACGACCGAGGAGAAGCAGGTTTCAGCGGCGCAAAGCGACGGCCGGGGAGAGGGCAAGCTTGGCGAGCACGGTGGTGGTGACGGCGTGGAGCGGCAGTGACCCTAGTAGCAGCTAGAGGCGGCCGTAGTTGGTGGAAAAGGTAGCGGCGTGGGGTGCGACGTCGTGAGGGCAATAAGAGGGCACCGGAGAGGGCATCAAATGAGGGAAAAGGAGGAGGGGATCTCGGGGGTTGTTTTTATAGGGCCAGGGAGTTTGGACTTGACCCATGTGAGGCGAAAACGGCGCCGATGTGGGGAAGGAGAGAGAGAGAGAGGCAGAGAGATTTGAAAATCGAATCTCCGCCCATTTTTAGGGGCGCGGCTTGCAAGAAGTGGGGCGGCGATTGCAGGAAGGGCAAGGAGTGGGGAAGTGGGTGGAGAGGGCACTGGGTGCGGTTGCTCCCTTCGATTTCGCCGGCCGGAGGAGAGATATTGATCCGACAGGTGGTCCACCTGTTGGTGTCTGAAGAGAGAGAGAGGGGCATAGGCTCGGCTGGGCCACGGCCATGGGTCAGCGAGCGGAGGAGGCGAGCACGCGTGGGGAGGCAAGGCGGACCGCGGCCCATGACCGAGGGGAAAAGATAGCAAAAATATTTTATTTAATTCCGATAACTGAATTCTAATTATTACTTACTTCTTTGCTCTGAAAATTTCACTGATAATCCTGTTGTTGTATTTTAGAAGGGGAACTTAAGAAAAGTTCTATTTGTATCTCTAGTAGATAAACTTGTAAAACACATATTTTAATATATATAAACTTGTCGGGGTGCGTACGAACCAAGACAAACAGAATAAAACAAGGATAATCTTGCTAATTTAAGTGTTGATTAGGATGTTACATACATATTTACGTAAGAAAATGATACGTAGATGTATACATCTGTTCATAAAAAAAGGTTAATAAGGCCCGATTATTGCACGGAGAAAGGCATTAAAACCGAGAAATGATGCAAAAGGTAGAACCCGCAATAATAAAGCCGATGAATGGAGTTCTCAAAACAAGATCCGATGAATGGGCCCAAACGAACAATAGCGGTGAATAAAAAGCCCATGGAACAGTCTAAGTTTGGTGAAGGATTTTAGGGTAGGCACCGTAGACCTTGACCCCGTATATACTTTAAACATGTTATGAGAGTTACAGAAGTACACAACACCAAACTTGTGGCCAGTATATTACGATAAAATAAGTGGTCTCAGTACATTTACGAGACAGTGCCCATTGATACGTGGCAGCAGAACCTTGAATTCACGGCGTTGGTCTCGTATCATTCATCAAAACAGGCTGCATCTAACACACGACGTATATTTAAGTTGCCAGAGTGCTAGAGAAGTAAACATTTGTATCAACAAAGTAATTGGTCGCTAGCTGGACTGTTATATATATATTCAACACGTACGTTAATTTACGGTCAAACTTTGCCCAGCATCTTCATTTTTAGCTAGGCAGCCTGCTTCGTTAATTTTCTTCAGCATGATAATCCGACGAACCTTGGTTAATTCTGCTGTTTCGCGTGCGTGGTTTCTTACTTAACGCACGCTAGCTGTAGCGCACCAGCTTAGCAACCTTCTGGTGCTGGTGGTACGTGAAGCGCGAATTGTCTTCGGATTATCGGATATATCCCTGCATGCCCACGCGGCGGGCGCCGCGCGCACACAACATAAGACAACGCGTCCATCCAGCGATCGACGACGCGCGCACTGTCCATCTATCCTACCTATCGCTTTATATATCCATGCATGCACCTCCCTATCCTTCACACCTAGCTCGCTCGATCATTTCATTTCTCGAGGCAGGCAAGCTAGCTAAGATTCGATCAATGGCGCTCCGACGCCACGCGGCACTTCTCTCCTTGGCAGTAGTACTACTGTTCGCCGGCCTCGCCGCCGCGTCGCCGACGTCCCAGAACACCGGCGACACCGTGATCTTTTGGGGACGGAACAAGGACGAGGGCTCCCTCAGGGAGGCCTGCGATACCGGCCTCTACACCACCGTCATCATTTCCTTCCTCAGCGCCTTTGGCTACAAGCCCGGGTACTACAAGGTCGACATCTCCGGCCACCCGGTCTCCGCCGTCGGCCCCGACATCAAGTACTGCCAATCCAAGGGCATACTCATCCTCCTCGCCATCGGCGGCCAAGGCGGCGAGTATTCCCTCCCGACCCCACAGGCGGCCGTTGAGCTGAATGACCACCTCTGGTACTCCTACCTCGGCGGCCACCGCAACGGCGTCTATCGCCCGTTCGGCGACGCCATCGTCAACGGCATCGACTTCTTCATCGACCAGGGCGGCAGGGAGAACTACAACAAGCTAGCCAAGCTGCTCTACGCGCACAACAAGGACTACCGCGGCACGGTCGGGGTGATGCTGACGGCGACGACGCGGTGCGAGTACCCGGACCACCGGCTGGATGAGGCGCTGGCGACGGGGCTCTTCCACCGCATCCACGTCAAGAAATTCAGCGATGGCCGGTGCCCGGCATCGTCCTGGATACAGTCGTTCCAGAAGTGGGCGAAGATGTACCCGCAGAGCCGTGTCCTGGTCGGCGTCGTGGCCTCGCGGGAGGTGGACAGGGAGGCCTACATCTCGCCAGAGGACCTCAAGAAATTGATGCAGTACGTCTTCAGCAAGCTGCCCAACTTCGGAGGCGTCATGGTCTGGGACAGGTTCTACGACGAGAAGACCGGCTTCACGGGTCGCCTGCGAGCGTAACTGGTCGCGACATTTGAAGCCCGTTAATTCCTTACTATGAGATCAATAAAAAAGCTTTTGTGGAGTACTCCACAAATAAAGTCATGTAATAATAAATAAACATATTGTGTATACTATAAAGATTTGTGTGTTGGGTAATGTATGTAATCAATAAATAAAGCGAGGTACGATGATACCTCGAGTAAAATAAATAAAGAGCTTTGAGATTAATAAAGTTTTCTTTATCTTAAAAGGTATAAAGATTAATTGCCGTGGGAATTTACCCTCTATGGACGATTAATTCATAATATGGACTTACAGAGATCTTTGCAGGATGAAGGACCAGAACTTGAATGCTTGCATACAATGACTTTTTCAATTTGTGAGCTAATAATGATGATATACTACCTCCGTTTTTTAATAGATAATGTATTTAATTTTTTTGCCGCATGTTGAACTATTGATCTTATTCAAAAAATTATGTAATTATTATAATTTATTTTGTTGTAAGTTGTTTTATCACTTAAAATAGTTTAAGCATGATTTATATATTAAACATTTGCATAAAATTTTTGAATAAAACAAATGATCAAACATGTGTTCAAATGTCAACAACGTCATATATTAAAAATCGGAGGGAGTATATGCATACAAGTACATATAAACCGCTCAACAAATTTGTCAAGAAATCACTTCCGTACTTTTTTTTCTATAGTGGCCTTTTACATATCCATTTCGGGAATCATCAGCCTACCTGGAAGAAGGTATAACAGGCTAAACCCAAACAAGGTGATCGATTTATCTTATCATATATAGTTCGGATGATGGTGGTTGCTTAAGAATTCCGCCTAAAATATATAGATGCCCCTCCACTCTTCCTCAATAGACCGACGATACATTATAGATGCCCCTCCACTCTTCCTCAATAGACCGACGATTTTGGGGAGGCCAATACCCCATGGGACACGCGGTGGAAGTTGAAGCGAACGACGATTTTTGATAAAGGATGGGACTACCTATACATCTAACGGGTGATTTTTCACCCAAAATCACACAGATTTTTTTAAACCATTAGATCTACATCCAATGAACAGGAAAAAATATAATAAAAAAACAATTATAAAATAGAACAAAAAATTAAATGAAATATAAATCAAATGGGCTGTAATCTAGCCCAAACGTCATAATCAAAATAAACCATAAAAGACAAAAAAAAGCCCAATAGAAGAAATGAGCCCTAGATAGAAAAGAAAATCAACAACATAGCCCATTGAAAATCGTAGCCCATTACAACAGAACCATCAACTTGGAATCCAAGAAAGCTATCAAAAAAGGAAAAGAGGAAAACACACGCAACAAACAAGGTTCAAGGTTCTAGATCAATCAGAGCAGATCAGGGGCGCCATGGACAGCGATGAGAAGGAAAAAAAAAGAGAGAACAAGGAGACTATCACCAAAAAAATGGAGATCAAGAGGATCAAGCAAACAAGAGAAAACATACCAGGTAAATTTCAACCCTGAAACCCCTTCCCCCTTCACCTTTGCATTTCTGATTTTAAACCTCTAAAACTTTCACCACATCTTCTGCCATCAGTTGACCAACTAGAACAGATCTATCTAATGCTCATACAGTTGAACAATTGAACAGATACCAATTCTCATGCAGGATATTAACTTGACAACTCAAAACTTCCACTAGATAACAACTAAAATTACATATGGAACTATGGTCCAATTCCACTGTAACTGCACTGTAACTGTCAATGAATTGTACTGTAACTGAAACTATAAGACTACTTACAGTTATATTTTGCTAGCACCATACATGGCCCCAACCCGTATGCAAAAAATTACAGTGCATTTGCACTAAAATTACATTTGTAAGAACAATAGATATAACATGTAAGTGCACTGTAAGTTTAGTACAAATGCACTGTAAATTTACCAAAAAGTAAAATAACCTTAGTATGCCCATTCCAAATTGTGCTAAGAGGGAATCACTAAAACTGAACACATCAACTCAGTTTTGAATCACTAATAGTATATCATGCCATGTAGCTAGGTGCACAAACCACTGTAAATCACTAATAGTATATCAATTGGTCAGAAAAAAAAGAAAAAGAAAACCACACTAGTTATTAGCATGGTGATATGGGTCAGAGACAACTAACCTGCATGATGGCTAATAGACAGGATAGTTGAGATCCCTTGAGTAAGAAGCAAGCTAAAATTAAAGAGAACAAAAGCATGAATTAGGACATATTCCACGGTAAAACTGAGTCACATAACAATTGGAGTAGGGCACAATCCATATGAAAAAAACTCAATCCATATCTACAAACATGCCAGGCAAAAAAAAACATGAACACCTATTTTAGGCACAAATCAACTGAAATCAACACACAAATAATACTCCAATACTAAGATTGCACAAGGGATTAAAAATGAAAAAGAAGTTCAGAAACTAAAAACAACACCGCACCAAATCAAATTCACATTCACATATGGTCAAATTGGAAAATTACAGTGCTTTGTACCTTAAATTACATTTGTAAAAACAATATATACGGCATGTAAGTGCACTGTAAGTTTAGTACAATTGCATTGTAAAATTTGATAACTTCAATATGTTAACTTCAAAATTTCATAAATTCTCCATCAAACAGTAATGCATATACAGATTTTACATCAAACATGATAGGAACACATGTAATGCTCAAAAACAAACAATCAAGATTTACTTAAGGTAATAAACACATTTATATTAACACTAATAATATAAAAACTTTTGCCATCAAATATTAAAGAAAAACACCTCAAAACTTTGCACATCATCAGACAAGAAGTTTAATAAATCTTTTTCACAAATAGTGAATAATTTTCTTGTCTGATGACGTGCAAAAATTTGATTTGCTTAATTCAAAAATTATTTATCATCATTTGGCAAAAAGAGTTGATTGCATAAAGAACACTAGATTATGAAAATTTGGTGCATGTCCTATGTAAATAAATATCTAATACTTAACAATCTAGTAAGATGATTTTAAAAAACATGTATACTAATTTGGTGCATATTCCTTGAATGTTGCAGGAACAAAATTTGCTGAACCAGTTCAGGTTGGCTGCATGGACAAAATAGTTACATAAATACTATACTATGCTAGACAAAAAGATTCATCACATCAGGTCATATTAAAAATAGCACTATTCAGAAGTTAAAGTTTAAAAGAAAAAAACAACTTACAGTCAAAACTTGCTACAACTTACAGTCAAAACTTGCTACAACTTACAGTCAAAACTTGCTAAAATTACAACTGTAACTGTAGTTCATGAAGAATGTATTGGACTGTAACTATAGTGCAATAAATATGGAACTAGAACAGATATATCTAAATACGCCCCAATTCTCGTAGAGGAAACTTCACAAAACCAAAAATTACAGTAGATAACACCTAAAATTACATATGTAACTATGGCCTAATTCCACTTTAACTGCACTGTAAGTGGTATACAATTGTACTGTAAGACCACTGTAAATGTGATAATTGATGAAGAATATACAGGGATTGTATGGAATATAGAATTCAGTAAGGACAACACATTACATGTTTCTACTGTAACTACATTGCCTTAATTTTTGCAGGGTTAAAGAATGAGACACAAAAAGACAAAGACATCAATAAACAAGGAAAAATACAGGCACAGATTCAAGTAATGAAAGAAATTGCTGGTAAGTAATTTATGGTCAACAAAATTTTAAATTACAAAGATATTATATTGTAATGCTTTTTAAATATTAATGCAGGATTAAAGCCAGATGGAGAATGTAGTCAGAAAAAAATTCTTTCAGAAACAAGTTGATACAGAAATCACCAATTTCAAGCAACATACAGGTAACAATTAAATTCTACGAAGAATAGAATAAAATTTATTTTGAAAAACACTGCTTGCAGCTATAAAAAATGACTAGGGCAGCAATCAAACTAAGGGGCACATAAAAGTCCGAACTTACAAAAACATCAAACAAATTTAATTCTCCAGGCATGCCCCAACAAATGAATGATGACAGGATGAAAATATCTAAAAAAACTAACATTCTATTATAAATTACAATACAAAAGTACTAAAATTACGACTGTAATTAATCAGTACTTGAACTGTAACTGACTGTAAGTGGTATAAAATATAACTGTAACTGATTGTATTTTTTTTTGCAGGTACAAGGAAGCGTGAAAGTGAAGAAGGGGGAATAAATGCAGGGGAGACAATGAGAAGAAAATTTCAAAAAACTGGGCTTGAAGAAATCAAAAGAGACATACAAATATCAGGTTATATTATTGAGAAGGAAAATTTTAACAGAAAAAAAAATGACTTACAGTCAAAACTTGCAAAACTTACAACTGTAACTATAGTTGTTGTGTACTGTAACCTTATGATGCTTATTTATTTATTCAATTACAGGATCAAATCAATTGCAGGAGATTGACAAAAAAGAATATTCAATCAGGACAAAATGCTAGAGGAGGAACAGAAACACCAAATGCAACAAGCTATGGAGCACAAATACTATACAACCAGTACTCATTGCTTAATGAAGATGGAAGACTTGTAAGTACAAAATTCACAATATTATAAAAATAATGCCAATACTTCTGATATAACAGAAAACAAGGGAAATTTACAGATGGAGGCAGGAAAGATGAGCTACACTAATCTCATGCAACAAATAATTCAGAGTCCAAGAGTGACCATGCAAACAAATGAGGTAAGCATATTTTAATCAGATTTCAATTGTACTAGAAAAAGAAAAATGAAAGAAAAACTAATTGCAATCTAAAATGAAATGTGCAGGAAGGAATAGAGGCATATACAAATCTACTTCAAACACCCGTCGCATTTGATGTGAGAACTTAACTTACAACCATAAATGAAGAACAAAAATGTCAAAATTTATAAGTCATTACTAACAGTTTATATTTTGCCATTGCAGAATTCTATGATTTTGACAACAAGCAGGTTTTCTCCACAAGAAACAGATCAGCAAGATGGGTTTTATCAACAACAGATTTCTACAACAGAACGCATCTATCAAGAATTTGATGCAATATACAATAACAACAACATGACTACATGGAGTGAGGTAACATTTTGAACAGTGAAATAAATACACTAACCGGATTATTACTTACAAATGACAAACAATTTAAAAAAATTATGCAGAGATCATCAGAAAGA